TTTGATAGTTAATTGGGTTAATAGTTTATGCATTGATTCAAATTGAATTTTAAAAGAATAGACTCAATATCTTATTATCATAGTTATTTGATTAACTTAATTGTATACTATTGTGTGACTGATGGGAAGAAATTTATAGTCTTGAGCTAAAATTTTAGACTCATTAGCAGCTAGTGCTCGAATGACCCAAACCGATAAAGAATGAGGTGCATCGTTATCTAATTCTATCTTAGATGGTCCCTACGAAAATCTGGCCCTCCATGGTTTAAACTTTGATACTCCTTCAATGTAGTCGTTTCAACTTTTTAGATAGGAGAGCAGGTTGCAAAGCTCTCCGACATGCAATTAAGGTAGCCCGAAAAGTGAACACTCTAAAATTATTAATATAGATTTAAGCATTTGTATGTAATATTATAAACTATTGATAATAATATATTCTTGACCAAATATTTTGAGGGCAAATTAGGAGGTGTGTTGACGTTGATTATCAATCAGTTAATTTATATATCTGTAGGTTATGAGGGATGTGTGGTTCTCAAACTTCTTCAGACGGCTAGACCTTAGGCCGATAGCTCCATCCTGCACATGAAGAATACTAAGAGGTCGGAGTCAGGATCTCCGGTGGTTCCTCTGACGATCAAGTTAGTGGAAAGTTTGAGTGAAGAATATGAATAGTGAGAGTTTTTTAGGACAAGATTTTTACTTACCCTAAGCAGCAGACATCACTTCCCGTTTATAGCAGATCCCAAAGGGTAAATGGGTAACTTGAGCCAAGTCCAAGTAGGTTGCTTTTTAGCATCTGCTTTACAGGTGTTCGCTGCTAAGGGGGATGAGTCACCCATGTGTTTATTGTGATAGTGACTGGGCAGCTTGCTGCTGACGAGGTCTGATGTGTCATAAAGACTTTTGAGACAAGAGTTCTGATTATGCATTTAATGTGACGACAATCAACTTTTGGCAGGGGTCTCGAGGATGCTACCTTCTGACTCATCTCATTGGAGGTCGACAAGTACCGTCTTTCTAGTCAACTTCGCAAGCTGTTGGCTCGGATTGGTCGAGTGGGGATGTGTCTCGAATTTGCGAGCAGGCCGACAAGTATCGCCTCTCTAGTCGGCCTCACAGGTTTTCAGCTTGACTGGGGTCTCCTTCGGAGAAGTTCCACTGGTGTTGTTCGAGTCGTCCTGCCTTAGAGCGGGTTTGAACAGTCAGGGGACACATGTTGATTTCCGAGAGAGAGTATTAACCCTTACGTTCTTCGCAGGATATAACAAGGTGCATTTAGTAAAGAGTTCTGGAAAATCATTTAAGGATTAATTATAACTAATGGTATAATTAATTATGAATTATCAAAATTTAAAAGGGCTAAATATGAAGTCAAAAGTTCTGATATGAGTATTCTCTTTTATATGTAGTATGGATATAGATATATATCTAATACTATTCTAAAAGTGGTTTGGTATGTTAAAACATTTCTCTCGAAAATACCCTTTAAAACACATACATACATACATAAAATCCATAAAACACATACATATAACCATAACCACATACATATATATGCATGCATTCTTAATAATGTCATAACTCTCCTATTAATTGTCCACTAATATTTAACTTCTATTTTTTGTAACCCCTCCACTAATCCAATATTAATGTCATCAAACCATTCATTATATATTTTTTAACATGTACTAGAGCTTGCAATGCACGTGCAATTTTATAAAAACCGTCATTCATTATATATTTTTTAGCATGCCAATCCAAAAAAATGATACGTCAACTATAAAAACATATAAATTTTTTAATAAGGAAAAATATTTTTAAAAAATTTAATTTAATTTTATAAACACGAGAGGAGTTGAGGATTAGCCGTCAAAGATTTCAACTTATTATTAGGTGCTTTCATTACAACTATAATGAATTGTTTCATAAGTGGTGATTATAATTCATTACCTATAACCATTTAAATTCTCTAACGTCAACATTAAACAACCATCCATTAATCAATCCTATTAATCCATTAAGAGTTACCATTAAATCATCATTATAACTCCATTAGTTAGATACTAATCCCCCAACCTTTAGGCTTCTGTTATCAGTAACAACTCATCCTTCTTTCCTTTATATGTTCAGCCTAAAGACAAAGCCAACAACACTAACGTTAAAACCCCTAACCAAGATCTCTTAAAGGTCACCGACGCCCACATTAGAGATGCCATCAACCGATCAACCATCCTCTATGCCGCCACCGAGGAACGTCGTCTTCGATTATGCAGTCCGGGACCTCAAAGATGTCATCGACCATGTTTGAAACTATCAGCTCAATGACCAAGACAGAGCCGTGTACGACCTCAAGAACTAACTCAATAGTGCCAACACATGTCAAGAAACCTATGCAGGCAAGTTCAGTAATAAAATGGGTGACCTAAGATGCGCATTGAACCGGTCTATATCGTGTATTAGGTTGGATCGATGATGTTGGAATTTAAGCTTTCATCTATTGGGAGGAACGGTTGCAACATTAAGAGTAGGAGATTGATATCGAGATTCTTTATTGTAAAGAAAGTTGGAACAAATATATATACCATCTGGTATGCGTTGGATCTAACAATTCTCTGGTGCAAAGTGAGAAATCTGGTGATGGTGTTGTACTGTCGACGGTGGGTATTATTATATGAATTTGAAAGTTTTGATGTTATGAATTCAATAGGTACTTTTAATTTTATATATGCGTTCTTATGTAGTTTATTTGTGCCCACAATCCTACTTTTTGTTTGATTGATTGATTACGTCCATGAAATATACAAATCAATTATGGAATTATTTGTCGCTTTGTAAGATCTATTATTGTTATAAAAAATTTCTTATCTAATCCATTTTTTATAAATGATGAAATACATCATATAAATATTACAGGTATTAATATAATTACTTATCATAATTAATGATTTAATATAATTCAATATTATAATTTAGTTTAATTCCTTACAATATCATAATATTATATAATTATATTATAATTATTTATCATATATTTAATTTATTACTCATACATATTGACGCGGCGGGGAAGTAGTAACCTCGGAATCCACAACGGACAATCTTCGAATCCACGAACAAGTTTGAATGCACGAATAAAATATTAGTATGATACTCAAGATATTTATTAAAATGATAATTTTTTAAGAAGAATATTACACTAGAGAAAAACATAAATACATTATATTATTAGTACGTTCATTCAATATCTATATATTATTCTTTTAGTTATTTTGATATAGCCATATACCACGTGCAACGCACGTGCACTATACTAGTATATATAAATTTAGTGCTCAGATGTTTATCAGGAGTTCATAGTTTTCAGTTTTAACTTTTAGCCAAAATTTATCTATCTGCTTCTGGAACTAAAGAATTGCTTCCCCTAGACGATGAAATTGCCTAACTAGCGTATATCACTCCCTTTTCTGTGTCTAAAGAGCATATCAAATTTCAACAAGAAATATAAATATCTCCCACACTTTTTTCTTTTATTAAAAAAAATATCCCCATGCTTACAGATTTTATGTGATGCTTATGTTTTAGGTCTATAATTATAGTTTGTTGTTTTCCAGAGGGAAAATTGTGACTGAAGATATGTTTCAATTTTATGAAACAAATGTGTAGCATACCAGCAAGTCTTTAAATGGTATTTGAAACTAGAGTCGTTCAACAACATCATGAGATGGATTAATGCTGCAAAGAAATGTATGAAGTGGAATTTGAAACTAAAGATGTGTTTCAAGCACCCACAGAATCACATAAAATTTCAGAAACAGTAATCTTCAAAATCCCTTTTCACAGAAATATACAGAAATGGAATCTATTCACAGTAAGACATCACAGTAAGACATCACAGTAAGACATCAAACAATGAGTAATTTTATGTAAATTAAGCTTCTAACTGATGAATATCACTGAGTGCAAGAAACTATAACTATATTTTTCAGCATCAAGACACTAAGGATCATCAAGTGCAACAAAATTTTGATCAAAATGCCTCGGACCCATTTGAAATTTCATGCTTCTGATCTATGGTTTAAACTGGTATAACTCTGATTCATTGCACACTACAAAATAAGTCACTGAAAGGAAAAGTAATCAATGGATCATCCGCAAGATTTTCAGCGCACTGCCTTCTGTTTCAGTTTATCCATTATGAGATGTGCTACAGATTCATAGCCTTCTGCACGTGCTGCGTACATATAAAAACAAGCAAAGAAGTCAATAAAATGAAAATTTGGCATAAAAGTAAGGGTGTTTTTTTAAGTATAAAATTTCAATTCTTTTTAAGGTGGTTTCCAGCGGAGAAAAAAACTCTAAAAGTAACAAGTAAGTCACATGATAAAACTATATGCTTGTAAAACTAAACTAACCCTGGTAGATTGCAATTCCAGTGGGAGCCATCTTTCTCTTTTTCAAGCACAGAGAGCTATCACAAATTCATGGAATATTTGGTTAAGCCCAAACATGACCATTTACATTTAAATAAAGCATTATTAAGATTGCATAGAATGTTATATTACATACCTGTTACATATCCAATATGGGTTAATTCCTTTCTCTTCAGTGCAGTGTGGACACATCCAATCCTTCTTCTTTTTGACTTCTTCCATTTCTATTAAATTAAGACACAAAACCTTTACTCTATATAGTTTCTAATATATGCTACTCAAATAAAGAACTAACCAAAGTTTTTAATGTTGTAGGCTTACCTTCACCATATCTAACCTTGAGACAAGCGCGACATAAAACACCTTTAGGTGAGTGGCACACTGAACATTCTGTCTTTCCTGTTAAAAGAAGTAAAACGAAGATGATGAGAATTTTCCTTAATGAGATGAAAAAGTGAAGATATATAAAAATAAATTTTCACCTATGCATGGCTGATTTATATCGCTGTCCCCACATCGTTTACAGTCTTCTTCTCCGCACAATTTTTTCTGCCTGAATTTATTAAAGCATTAGAAGTTAGCCCTGCAATCTATAGCTCAGAATGTAACTTAAGTTCACGGTCACACTAATACATAATTTGAGGTGATTCTAGGGAAGTGTATGATATACTAAGACTGTTCCTATTTCAGAAAAACCAGAATGTCAACGTTCATCCTAAATTTACCAAAAAAAATTAGCATCAAGTCCAAACTGTGCACCGTACGTACGTAGGACAAAATCTTACCTAATAACCATAGTTATTTGTAGATCCCATGACGTAATGATTTAGTGGAATGGTCATTTTGTGATAATAAATTCTTTCAACGGCATGCCTATAACTTTAGATGGCAATGCGTTTACAGATAGATAATTAAGGATAAAGAGTACATGTAATAACAATGAAAATTATCATCTAGACCTATGAAAATTAGGTTATTATCCTCTCTCCACATCCATATTTGGGTGCCTAATGCCAAATGCATTTGCAACAAATCTAGGCCTTTCCCCTCCACAAGTTGTATGATCCTTAATGCGCTTAAATAGTTTCATGCCAAAAAAAAAATCTTCTCTATCTTCATTGATAAAAAATAATCCTTCACAATCCATAACACTACGTAATACATCAAGTTTTGAGCTCCAATAAGTTTGTAGCAAATTCATAAGATAGATAAAAAAACAAAGGAAAAGACATGAAATATAAGAGTCTTTCCACTGCACCCGAAATGATATTCTGATACAAAATTCTGATGCATACATCAAAGTTACGATCGATAGGACTACTATGGAGAGCATTATTAAGAACCAAAGATGAAATCTTTGTTACCAATGAAGACCTAAATGTTTGTTTTCTATGTGAAAGAATATCCACATGTCAAGAATCAGGAGAGCAACAACAAAGTAAAGACAAACTGTATATTCGACTAACTGCGTCTTTGATACATATATCACCAGAGATGATGAAAAAAACTTCACATAATAAACTATAATGGTCTTGAATGATGAAATAGACAACTTTAGGAATTGAATTCCTTTTTTCCTTTACTTGAATAAAGGAATTGAACTCATTATGCAAGGAAACAAGAGATGAATTTTCAGGATAATAAATCAACACTTCATCTCTCCTAGATTTCACATAGGCTGTCAATAAACCATAGATGCAAATACACAAATGAATAACATATTATCTCATTGTACTTTGGTCCTTGCGTAGCTAAAATTTTGTTTTAAGTTGTTAACATACGCTAGCCATATAACTGAAAGCTTTGGACGAGCCATTGATCTAAGGATTCAAAACCTGATTCAAAAGTGATATTACCTACTACGCACCAAAAAAGATTTGAGAGGAATAAATTCATGAAAATGCAAGAAGCAGAACCATGTAGTTGATTGGACTGAATTATCATGTTACACCTAACTTCATTGATATACCGGAATATCAATACACGTATAAAGGGGGAAATGTAGTCTATACAATACTCATTATCTTCCAAGCATGGAAAAGGAATATAGTGAGTTTTTGAATGTAATCATCTTGTTAGCTTAGCGCACAAATGGTGAGTGCATTTTTGGTGTGTTCATTTCTCTAAGCTAGACTGAGATCAACAAAATACACAAATAGGGAATATTTATACAGTTAATATGAAATCATTTCAACTCCAATGTAAATGCCAGTTATAGTTTGCAAACTCGAGAATGGAAAAATACAAACCTGCAAAAATGACAACAAATTCCCAAAACAGGATCATAGATACTTCCCCTTTCTTTACTTCTGCATCTCTCTAAATTAGAAAATAGTCTCAGTCTCCTCTTCACGCTTAATGAACGTTCACTTCTTTCAAGATATAAATCTAAACAACAAAAGTTCCCAAAATTATAAATCTTACAGCATAATTTTAAGTACTACAAAATTAAACCGTTGTTTTACTTAAAGAAAACCTTCGGGAGATGAGGCATTAGAATCTGCAGGCTTTCCCTTCAAACGATCTGACCTCCGACGTGGAGTTCCTAGATCCATCTTCGGTTTCTTGGTCTTCTTATAAGTTTTAGCAGAGGATAAAATGATGTTTTGAAGCTCTTTAAGGCCACGGTCAAGCCCGAGAGATGCCATTTTAGCCTGTATATATGAATTTATAGGAATAAGAAGAAGTATTAGTCTCTTATGAAAAACTTCATTTGGAAAAAGAAATTTGATAAAGGCAAAAAATACCATGTTTGCAGAGATTCGGGCATTTCGGATGCTTTCATAATCAGAAATTGCAGAATCTTCACAAGTTTTTGCATCACCAGCACTTCTACAAGAATCTGTAGATCTTGCCTGGACTACTTCTGAAAGATCTAAAGAACATTAACATGTTTCATAAATTAGAAAATACAGTCTGTTTCAAGAATCCAGAATACACACACACACACACACACGGGATTTTAAAGAAAATAATGAAAACCTTCAGGAGGTGAGGAATCAGAGATTTCATTGTTCCCATTCAAACGATGAGACCGGCGAAGTGGAGTTGCTAAGTCTGGCTTCAATTCCTTAGCTCTTTTTCTGGATTTAGTAACAATAAGCTCTTTGGAGTTTTCTGTTTGCCTTCCAGCCTTCACATTTTAAGGAAAAGAAGAGGAAAAAAAAAGCATGTCAAGCTTTCTGATTTCAAAAAAACAAATAAACTAGCATTAAAAGGGGAAAGAGACCTTGTTTTCAAATATTTTTGCCTCTTCTTCACTTTTGAAGCCATCTAAAGATAATCTTTTCTCCCCAACTTCAGAATGATCTCTCATATCCTCCAAAGGGTCTGAAACAAAAACGAACAATTTCAGAAATCTACATTCTTTTTTTTTAAATAAAAATGGACCTCTTAATGAGAGAAACAACATGAAACCTGAAGATTTCCCCCCCAATCGACCCGAGCGACGAATCGGAGACCCCAAACCTGAGGTGGGTCGTTTAACTCTGCTAATCGATTTCGAAGAAGAAACAATAGCGGGAATTTCTCTAGCATTCTGGCTGAGCCCATGAGATTCTAGTATAGCCTTCAAAATTTTCCAAGAAATTCAAGAAGAAGTAAAAGAACCATAAACTTTTTTTTTCACATGAAACTTCAAGAGCACATAAAAGGAAACGGGTTTACCTTGTTTCGAGCGATTTGAGCATTTCGGAGGCTTTCGTAGTCTTGCTTGGCCCTCAGCCTCCCCATTGCCAACGGTTTCTTTTTGTTTTCTCAGAGATTGGAGAAGATGGGAGGAAGTCAAAAGGGGTTTTGCAACGGCTAGTTATTTTGGGAGGGAGAGAGATGGCCCGCTTAATTTTTAAACTGGGGACCGCAGGATTAGTTGCAACGGTTGGATTTTGTGCTTCAAACTTGGGAGTGGAAGTTGATACACTGTATTTAAAATAGTAACTCAAACTTGGGTATTTTACTAAATTTATGATAATAAGAATAAGAATAAATTGAGATACCATATAACGCACAAGAAAATACTTTGATCATGCGCCAAAGATATATCAATCTTTAGATTAGGTACTTTATAGTTGCACATAATCATCCATTAATTAAAGTGTAAGAGCATCTCCAGGGATCCCTTGGGTGTCCCTTAATTTAGGGGGAACTTTAAGGAAGGGGTTGGTTCTCCTTCAATGGTTCCCCTTAAAAGTCCCCTACCCCTTAATTAATTATGTTTAGTTTTTTAATTTTATAGATTATTATTTAATTAAATATGTGGTTTATTTATAAATGAATAAATAATTAAATATTAATAACTATAATTAATTAATTAATTAATTTAAATTAAGAAATTACCTTATATAATCATTAAATTAATTAATCATATTAAAATTTAATTAACTTAATTAAATTAGCTATACATTAACTTAATTATATTAATAACTAAAAAATATTAATCAAATTAAATTAACTATACATTAACTTAATTATGTTATTTTAAACTAACAATATATTAACTAAATTTAATTAACTATAAATTAACTCTAAAACAAAATATATTAATATAAAATTATAAGGGGAAGGTTAAGGGACTTTAACCTTCCCCTTAATTTGATGAGGAAGTTAAGTGACATGAGGTTGAAGGGGAAATTTTCCGGCCCGTTGGAGCTCATCCCCCCTAGAAATCCCCAAATTTAGCTAAGGGGCCGGATTTTTCCGGCCCCATGGAGATGCTCTAACAATCCGAGAATTTTAAAGTCATGAGAGATATTTCTAATAGATTTGTTCACCATCAAGAGTTAATACCTTGAAGATCAAACCCAAAAAATCCCTCCAACTTGCTTTATAGGAGCATTAGCTAATCCTTCTTTGAATGTCTCCAATCAAGTTATTTGCTTAGTGACCAAGGAATATTGATGTCTTATCCGACGTATCCAATTACTTATTGTTAAGTGAGAAAAAAAAAATCATTGTGCATTTACAATAAATTTCTTCAATATATTTTTGAAAGCAAGATGACCACCATTGTCTAAACTTTGAAGAAAAAAAATGCATTCCAAGCATAAGTTTGATCTAGATAAATAACAAATAGACTAGAAAAATATACATAATTTGTTGCTCTCTATTTCTTATGACCATAGCTTCTTTCGCGTGAACCTGCCTATCATGGCTTTTTCGCAATTTGTTGCATTATTTGTAGGGTAGCTATGAGCTGGAACTTGGCCCAGATGACTACCATTTATTTCTCCAGCCCAAGTCTGGTGATCTTGTAAGGCCCACATGAGTAGACGATCGGACTTGGGCTTATGATGATACTCATTCCAAATCTTTCTAAAATGATAAACAACTAAGTAAATTTATACAATGTTTATCTTTTTCAAAACATTTACAGCACAACAGAACACAAAGTTCAGGAATTATTACCACAAGGAAAATATTCAGTAAATTGGAGCTTCATTCATCTAGAGTACACATCAAAATTCAACAGAGAGACCATGAAATGCATTGAAAAAATATAAAAGGAAACCATCTCTGTTTGTCAATTGAATAAGCAATCCTTACACCAGCATAACAAAGAAATTTCAGGACAAAAAACATTGAGATAACAAAAAAAAACCTTCCTCCCCCTAATCATTTGAAGTTATGTACACGAGACTCAAAACAAAACAATATTGTACTACGACGATGAAGCTTTCGTCGCCTTCTGCATATTTGAGAATGAAATGCGCCTTACTAATCTATCCAATGCTTCCTTCATCCATACATGCTCACACATCTCCCTTGCCTCCTCCACCGACACCTACATTATTCATCAGAATCATATTAAAGAGAGAATCATCAGTTTTGATCATATATAAGGGTTAATTGGCAGATACATAGACCCCCCCAAGTGAGATTTTTGTTTGACTCGTTCACCCTGAAGTCTATTGTCAATAAAGTTCACTCAAGGGTTCTTATGCAACCATTGAACTATAGGGGAAGGCTATATAAATGGTATAAGATCAAAGAGCTATGTACACACCCATCTCCTTTCACGGACATCCATCTCAGGCCAATGAACTAACTCCTCGGATACATTCAAAGGGAACATGATGCCCTCGTTGATCGTGTGTTGTGTTCTGCTCGGATATCTCCATCTACCAAGTCTTCGCTCTATGCATCCTTGCACGCCAGCTTCCTCCAACGCCTCTCGCAAGGCTGCTTGTTTTATGGTCTCATCGGATTCCCAACCTCCCTGTTTCCAAAGCAAATCTTTAATTGCTAATGGATTCATTTTATGGTAGAGGATAACTATAAGGGGCCGTTTGGTTCATGGGAAGGACATTGGGCTTTGGGCAGAAAGCCTGACAAAGTGCCAGTTTTGACAGGCTTTCTGCCCAAATCACCTCTAAAAGAGGTGTTTTGGGCAGAAAGCCTGTCAAAACTGGCACTTTGGTAGGCTTTCTGCCCAAAGCCCAATGCCCTTCCCATGAACCAAACGGCCCCTTATATAAAGATTGAGCTTTTGCATATGTGAATTGATTAAACAATGAATTTCATGCTTCCAAGTTTGAAGGGGGGAATTTTTACTGTTTTCGGGCACTCAGCCAGCTTTTGTAGGAGCTTCTAATAGGTGAAGTAAAATAAGAGAGGGAAAAGGGGGAAATGGTATGGTGGGAGGTTAAATTATTGATCAAAACATAACGTATTGCAAAAGTTAATGTATATGTGATATGTTTTGATCAATGAAAATCTTGTCAAAAAAATAATGTTTATTAATTTTCTAATGCTTCAATTCATACCACAATGACAATTTCGTATGATATTTTGCTTTCACTTTCTAAAGATTTCCATAAATTATCTAATAATTTCATATCGTCTACAAAAAAACCTGCGAAAATGTTAGAAATGCTTACTTTTGGAAACATCATCCCATTCTCATTGCCTTTTTGAGAGCTGACCACCAAAACCTCCATGTTCTCAATGAGATCACTGTTGCATTGATTGTTGATGTTGAGTTTGTAAGGAATACATCTGTTTATTATACGAAAATGTCAGCAAATATGACGAAATTGCAAGCTGACTTAATTTATGGTATGTATTTCTCATTATGAGATCAACATTGAAGTAAACATAAAATCGTTCAAACAAAACAAATGAAAGGTAAAAAGTAAAAAAGTAATTGCGGCTGAGCAATGCTCATATAAGAAATTGAAGAAAAAAAAAGAAACTTTCACATATAGAAGATGACAATGAGGCGAATGGTCTAAATCAAAACAATGGACAAGGTTTTTTCTCCCCCTTCCCCTTTTAGTAAAAGAGAGAAACCAAGTCAAAACTGTGCATCCCAAAATGCATAGCAAGTACAGATTCATCTTTCCATCATGAACCTGAACAAAAGAAAGCCCTTTTCGGGTAATGATTACAAGAAATAGTCAAATGGTAGGAGCCAAATCAAACGGGAAAATGTTGGAGCACACGAAACAAAATGGGGGTATTATGGGAAGAAATGCGCCAAAATCATATTTACCCACCCCAAGCTCCTATTTCAATCATCTTCATCATCATCATGAAGAAATAGGAAAACCCATTTCTGAAATGCATCAAATCAAACCAAGTAATTCAATATCAAAACACAATCAACACAAATAGATGAACAGAAAAGTAGGGCTATTTCGGGAACAAGGCATCAAAATACCAATATCCCCCACCAAGCTCTCATCTTTCCATCAAACTCGAGTCTAAAATCAAAAACCCACTTCAAAAAATGCATCAAAATCGATCAAAGAACGATCAAATTATATCTAACACAAATCAACTAAAATGTACAGGGGAATTTCGGGAACGCACCCCACAACGAGGCGACGCCCGCTATCGCTATATCTCTGCAATTGCCTCCCTTGTCTTGACACCAAAGCAACCATCTTTTCTTCTTCTTCCCCTTCTCTCTCTCTCTCTCTCTCTCTCTCTCTCTAGCAAAAATCTTCTCTCTCCTTAAAAACTCGAAATAACTGCTCACCAGAAAATAAACAACCAACCAAATTCAATTCGTAGAGACAGAAACGAAACGGGAAAGTAAAGAAATTAATCCTTGAACGACAGCCGGGATAAAAGGATGTGGTTTTGAGAACCCCAAGGAGAGGTGTTATTTATAGCAGGAGACGTTAATGCAGCAGTAGGGGTATTTTGGGAAGATACGCCAAACTCGTCAGATGCGACGCGTTGGGTAAATTTCAGAAAACACCCTCGAGTGATTTGCTTAAAACGGACATCAAATTTAAAATTAGAGCCCACGGTTTCAAGAGTTTCCCGAAACTTGAGGAAGTTTTGAAAGAGAGCTTTGTTACATCGATCCAAAATATAGGATCAACAGGAGAGACAAGTGAAGTGTCCTCCTCCTATTGCATAATAAGCTGGTCATCATAATGATGGTCTGTTAGTTCATTATGATGACCAACTTATTATGTAATAGGAGGGAGATACCTCACTTGTCCTTCTTATTGATCTCATATTTTGAGTCCCTGTAGCAAAGCTCGAAATGATATATTACTAACTCCGCTATGAATTTTATAGCACCTTTAAATTGCAAGGAACAAAACTGTGAGTCCTTCCTCTTGACTTGCAATGAAACTTGAGTCATTAAGGATTTACACATTTATTTCTACTCGTAGTACGAAGTCTATTTATTACTATTTGGAAAAAATCCAACTGAACTTTAAAGCAAACTTGTTTTAGAGTTTTTTTTACAAATGACATTTCAGAAGACGTGGTCATGAAAAGGTGATTAAGTGGAACATGATTGATTCAGTTTTAGAGTCGTGAAAATAATTGTTTATTATGTATTTAGGTAACTCCACAGAACAATATGCTGTAAGCCTGTAAAGAATTAAAATCCTATGTTAAAACACTATGCAAAGGTTCAGAGGGGTTTTGTGAAAGTATACAAAATTTAGAATTTTCTCTAATTAAAACCTTATGGCTATGCTATGTAAATTACATTAAGTCTAGGGGGTTTTCTATGATTTACCCGCGAATCGCGTATTGCATGCGGGTAACGAACCGTGACGGCCTCGTAATTGCTTTTCGGATGAGACGGAGGCAGTGGAGTTGGAATAACGTTGACACTTCTACCGTTAATCCCACTCACTAATCTTATTTAATGCTCTTAATTAATTATTAGGCTTGAATAATTATTTTTTGATAACGAGGGGACTGCCTTGGGAGCTGACCTCAGAGATTGCACTGAGAAAAAGTCTTCTTTTGTTTGCAACTCTGTTTGGTTCTTAAATTTTATTTTGAGAGAGACAAAGTCGTTTTCTTTATGTACAAATCATGTACTTTGGTTACGATGTCATAAACGAGAAGTATGTCTCACATTAAAATATTTCTTAATTTGTAGCAAAATACAAATCTTATTAAAACAAGTTTCATGTTAAAAAACAAAATGTTTGTTGGGTGATCTCAGGCACCATGCAAATATTGTCTCACGTGTTTGACTGCTGCAATGCTTAAGAATTCTTAATTTCGAGTGAATATTAATAAATCAGTTGATTAATTGTTACATGTGAGATTATTACATCCCAGATTAGTTACAAAACTAGTAGGAATCAAAACCATTGGCAGTTGAATAATTGGATTTTAGTCCCCATATCATATTCCAATAATATGTCCTTCCTTTCCATTAATTTGTTAAAAAAATGTTGCATTTCTTAATTTTAGAAGTTATATATAACTTCCGTTACTTTAAATTTGCAATTGTTAGAGTTTGTATAGTAGTCATAATTAATGCAGCGCGAAAGTGATAAATCTTAGAATTCACCAATATGTGCTCTCTGAATCCACGAAGAACGGTCTTCAAATCCATGAAGAAAAATGATATAAGAAGTTTTGTTAATAAAAGTGAGCTATTCTTTCTAGGGTTATATGTCTCTTCTTAAATAGAAAAAATAAAATAGACTCTTAATAGGAGTAGAATTATAAAGAAATAAAAAGCATCAAATCCTATCCTAAAAAGACTCTCATAATAGAGGAAACAAATCATGAATCAAAATCGAATTTATTTTCTAATTTAATTTGGCTCCAACTTTATTACTAAAAATAAATAAAAATTGATTTTTTTTAGATTTATGCCAAAAATTGGTGACACTGATATAATTTTAGAAATCTATCAATAGGAATGGCTTCGTCTCGTCTAGATATGCAATTTTCATTGTGTAATACGTTAGAATTTTCCTTTCAGATATGATTCTTTTTTTGTTGGCAAGCCAATAATTTATCCGTATTTGCTTTTTAACTCGTGAATATACCATTTCTCCATAAAATTGCTCATTATCTTATATCAGTAATTATAAAAATTCAATATCAACGGTCATCCCGAACGAATGCCTCCATTAAGATTAATTTACAATAAACTAAAGTTGGGTTACCTAAGCATATAGCTAAAACGTGTAGACAAGTGTTCAAGTATTCTAATTCTTCCTCTAATTAAAAGAATATATGATCATACGTAGAGGAGATTCCAACGTACATTATGTTTATATTTAAATAGTTTTAACGAATTAGATATTATTCTATTTCCGGAGACGGTCGCAATCATGCTACTACTAAAGTGTTTTTTTTTTTCAATCTCTCTCTACTTTTACATCTTTATAAAGAATAAGCCTTCTTTTGTTACCACTTCAACAATCAAGAAGTTTTCAAAACATCCTCAAACCATGTTTTAATTTTCAAAACCGACTATTTTTTTATTTTTACCAAAATCAACTCACTTTTTGTCACATCAGCTTAATCTCATTTACTAATTAGTCGGGGTTGCCAATCCCGACAATTTAGGACATAAAAAATCGGGTTTAAGTTTTTTAATTGGGGTTTAACAACCTCCTACACAGTCGGGGTTGCCAACCCCGACTGTTTAGGAAAGAGATTAAGCTGACGTGACAAAAAATAGATCGATTTTGGTTAAAAAAAATTTGGATCGGTTTTGAAAATCAAAACATAGTTTTGAGGCTGTTTTGAAAATTTCCTCCTTCAACAATTTGCCTTTCTCTACGTATAGCCTAAAGTACTTTGGGCCCAAGATGTACGTAAGTACATACGCGGCCGCTTTCGTGGAGCCACGTGTCTCTGAGTCAAGGATGCCTACAAGGAACAGGTCTGCAAAAGATAAATACGTTGGCCCACAATTTCGTCTATCCTTATCCAATTAATAACCTCATCGGTCAGCATGTAAAATTCCTTATTTACGCCTATCCTTATCCAATGTTACCCTCGTTGGTCAGCATGTAAATTTTTATTAATGAGGGGGAGGGACCTGTGGGAACTGGGAATTTGCTGAGAAGGAACATTTTTTGTATGAATTTGTGGTAGTTGGACTTGTAGCTAGTATTATAATTTATAAATGCCCTGAACTTAGATCGGACCTAGGTTTGCCAGCTCCTTTCATAAATACGTGTTTGTATATGGTAACTCCCAGCGCATTTATGAGTCTGAATAAGTTTTATAGAAATCGGGTTCATACATTGCATTTAGAGCTTTGCTACAGGGACCCAAAATATGACACTAATAGAGGGGACAAGTAGGGGTGGTAAATATTCGAATCGAATCGAATACTAAGGTGTTCATATTTGTATTTGTTTCAAGTTATCGAATTCGAATGTGGACTCTAATAGTCATATATCTAGTTTTTTGAATTCGAACACGAATACTTGATATTTGATGAATATTTATGAATATTCACGAATACTTATCGAATATCAAAGTATATTTATTCCGCCAAAGAATTTGATTTTCAAATAGTATTAAAATTGATAAATAAAAGTTATTCATTTATAATATATGATGTATATATATTTAAATCGAAACTTTAATTAGAAAACAGATTTAAGATTATTTAAGTCTTAAAATTAGTATATAAAACTTAAGTAGAAATGATAAGTGGATTAAAAATATGACATCATATGTGTAATAATACAAATAATAAGATGTGATCAAAATTTAAATGAATATTTAATAGACAAACGAATCGAATATACATCTGGTTAAATTCTATTTATTAGTAAACTCGAATACTAAAAAATATTCGTTTAGTGGTAAATGAACTACCGAATCAAATATGACTGAATAGTTATTCGAACAATTATCGAATTATTTGTTAATTATTTGGTTCATTTCCACCCCTAGGGACAAGTGAGGTGTCCCCTTCCTATTGTATAATGAGTTGACCATCATTAATGATGGCCAACTCATTATCCAATAGGAGAGGGACACCTCACTTGTCCCACCTATTGGTCCCATATTTTGGGTCATTGGAGAATTTTTCCTGCATTTATGATGGATCTAAGTGATTGTCTACTTTTAAATTTTAAAATTAGTGTGATGAATTTCGTTTGAAGACTAGGGCCTGTTTGTCTACTGGATTTGTATTTTGGACTCCTGACCGTGTTAAAAAAATAAATCAAAGGATCTTCAAAAAATTTAATTTTCTTGTTTGGTTTGTGGAATTAATGGTGGAACGGTAAGTTAGGTTTTGAAAGCGAATCGAAAAAGTACATCTCCCGGTATATACCAAATGACCATCCTAAATTCAAACCCATACAAATAGATCGTTCCGGTAGGCCACGAACAAGATGTGGTCGAGGCTGAAGCATAACCCTAGAGGCGTGCCAACATAGAAGGGTGAAGGTCATATTTCTGAAGAAGAACAAAACATGCCGAGCTAGCTAACAATATGACACATGACCATGACCTAATAAAATAATAGAAATTTTCTATCAAAAAATAAAATAATAGAAATATGTTCATATATTAAAGATCATAAGATTTTTGGTACTTACTGTTGGGAATTTAACGCTGAAACCCCTAATGCAACAGAAACGCAGAATAGAGAACAATACACAAGATTTAACGAGCTTCGGCAACTGCCTACGTCCTCGGGAGCCACACAGATAATTTTTTATTAATCAAACAAGAAATTACAAATCGTCAATCTGATAACTCCGAGGGCTTGTCTATCCAGAAGGTTCCACTCTTCTTCCTTCATAGAATCCGGCTTCTCCCCCGATAGTGGTTGATACAGATTTTTCTGATACAGATAATCCTCTATCTGCATT